GTCGAGATGAGGCTTGAATACGCAATTCATTAGATCCATGAATACTGCGGGGGCGTTTGTCAAACCGAACGGCATCACCGTGAACTCGTAGTGTCCGTAACGAGTCCGGAATGCGGCCTTAGGAATGTCCTTATCTGCCACCTTCAACTGATGATACCCAGATCTTAGGTCAATCTTAGAAAGCACTCCGGCGCCTCGGAGTTGATCAAACAAATCGTCGATCCGCGGTAGAGGGTACTTGTTCTTGATAGTGACTTGGTTCAACTCACGATAGTCGATGCACAGTCTCATGCTCCCATCTTTCTTCTTTACAAAAAGCTCCGGCGCTCCCCACGGCGACGTACTCGGCCAAATGTAGCCTTTGTCTAACAACTCCTGCAACTGGGTCTTCAACTCCTGCATTTCCTTGGGCGCTAACCGATAAGGAGCTTTCGATATAGGCGCCATACCAGGTACAAGATCCACTAAGAATTCAACTTCTCTCGGAGGAGGCATTCCCGGAATCTCCTCGGGAAAGACATCAAGGAACTCGCAAACAACGGGTATGGTCTGAGCTACATCCCCTTTCGCTTTCAGGATTTCGACTGAGCACAAAAAGATCTCATGGCCTTTCTCCACGTACTTTTTCATCTTCAACATCGACACTAACTTGATTCCTGGTTCTTCTGTTGATCCTCGGTATGACACCCTCTTCCCGCTTGGCCTTCTCAAAACCACTTTCTGCTCACCACACAAGATTTGAGCTCTGAACTGCCCTAGCCAGTCCATGCCCAGGACCACATCTACCCCGTCCAGGCCGAACTGGATCAGATTACTGGGAAAATCTTCTTCCCCGATGAGTATCTTAACGTCTTCGAAAATACGGTCCCAGGTTTTAACTTCTCCGGATGCCACCTTAACACTTAACTTCACTCCAACGCCTTCGGTTAAGCCTAGCTTCTTCACGAGTCCCGGAGATATGAATGAGTTGGACGCTCCGGAATCGAACAAGATTACCGCTGGGACAGCTTGCACAAGAAAAGTCCCGATTACAACATCACTACCTCCTGCCCGAGCTTCGTTTAAGATGAGGGTCTTCTCTTGAGATGACTCTTCCGTTGAGCTCTGGGTCCCTAACCCACTACTCCTTCTTAGATCACGAGGCGTCGGCAAGGTAGCTGCACTGGGGCTTATCTGAGTGGACGTGCCACTCCGAATCCACTGCTCGACTACGCTAGGAGCGTTACAAACTCCCGTCGTCCTAGGTTTCTTAGCCACATCACCCGTATCTTCGAACGTCGCGGTACACTGACGGGGAGGCATTGCAAAGCTTCTACAACAACAACACTGTTACAAACAAAGCAACAAGCAAGCAAACAACTGAAAACAACAGACAGCTCACCGCGCGTCCTAAGAGTCCTAAACTTAAACACTTAGATTCTTATGGTCGTCTTAAGGTTTCAAACCACACTTAACCACTTAGAACTTAGAAGTCTAGACTCTATCATCATTCGCTCAAACCTAGGCTCTGATACCAACTATAACACCCCTGATTTCCATGACAATTTAAACTTAAACATGCAAGATATCTAACCACGATATAAGCATACACAGCGGAAGTCTAACTATATAAACTGGAAAATGAGGAATGTTATGCCACGTCCACGCTAAGATGAACGCACAGGCGAGATCAACATCCACATAATCAGTCTAACAAAGGACAAGGTTAAAACAACAACAATTTACTGTTCATCAAAAAGGATCACAGGCCCAAAACAAAGCTAATAAGTCAGAGGCATCAACACAATCCATCACTAGATCGCGCTCGCCACTACTCGGGACCTGAAAATCACATAAATAAATGGGACGACGCCTGGTCAGCGAATGATGCTGGTAACCCACCAATACATGTCAATAGCATATATAGATAGGTAGTATATACAAAATCATTTCGAAACGGAATACTGTATATATAAGTTCAAACCACGGATAGAATTCAACCACATGACTCTATATCACTCACAACAAGAATAAGGGAAAACATCTCAAGACACCAAGACGTAACAATGACAACACAAGTAAGGCTCAAGGTATATTATACCATCACTCAGTAGAATATTTCCCGACATAATCAACAAATGAGAATAAGGACACACACTGGCAACACATGCCTTCGTAACATCACTTGTCACAAATAAGGAAACACACAACGGCACACATGCCTTCGTGACATCACCCATCACGAATTGATATTCCTTCCTTATGCCCGATTCCAACCTTATGACTACCCACAACCTTATAGCCAGTTCCAACCTTTACCTCCAGGACCCCTGTACTTCTGAGTCCAACCTTATTCCTCGAAGGACCGTCGTCCCCATCCACCAACAAACCACCAACAATTTCCACCATCAAAAGTTCACAAGGGTACCAATCACACACTTTGGCAACACATGCCTCCCAAGAAATACGTGAACCCATCACTCAGGTCACAAACTCCATAATCGCGTCATGGCCACCACGAGGACCACTGTCGTACCTTGGTGAGTAATGTCCCATACCATTAATCGTGCAATCCAGGTACAACCACACACACCACACCATCATAAGAATCAATCAACGGATCACAACGAAGATATGAAACCATACTCAACATGGAAATGATCACAATCCGACAACAATGATGATCAACACAAGTCATCATCCATAATTGGAAAGAAGAAACCACACACGCTAGCATTTAAACACCAGACTAGCATGCTTATCAAACAGGTAAACCAAACATAGTTCCGAAGAGCACACAAGACTCATCATGGTTCAACGAATCACAAGGTTTAACACTTAGCACGATTCAAGACACCAAAACCTACATGGAATCCTACCATATAGTTCTAGACATACGAAACATCAAGAAGACACTCAAAAGCCCAACAAAAGAACATCGGGAAGTCAAAACATCAATTACCGAGTCAAAAGAATCACGGGGAACAAATCCCCACACAACCACCATACAGTACCCGCGAAAACCAATGTTCCACACGCCAGTACCCCGCGTGTGGGGCGGCGGGTGGACCCCTACCCGCCGTTCCGCCCGCGGGTATACAAATCTGAATAGAATAATCCCTTCCGGGATTTTCAACACCAAGCTCAATTTCAAGTCCAAAACATCCAAAATCTCACCAAATACAACAAAATGACTTGAATCAAAGGAATAGCCAAGCAATGGCATACAAGAACCCTAATAACAAGCTCTAGATATGCATTTTCACAAGACAATGGATCAACACTCACATTTCATAGCAAAATCACATGTAGAATCCAAGAAATCATCATATAGATAAGCAAAATAGATCTTGTAGAGCATGGGTTACCTCTTGAAGACAAAACCTTCACTTAAAACACTTCCCAAAGCCCCTAACAAGGTTCACCTTCAACACCCACTTCAAGAACACACCAAAATATCATAAAGATTTCATCTTTAGGAAAAGATACCTTAGAAAACACTAAAAACACAAAAGGAACATAGATCTTACCCTCCTAGATGCTCAAGAGTAGGAAAGGCGGAATCTTGGAGACAAACTTTGAAGATCTTGGAAAGCCTAAACTTAGCTTGGAGAGAAAGCTAGCTAGGTTTTTAGAGGGAAGGAAGAGCTTTTGATTTCAAAGTGTTAGGAGAGAAATGAAAGATGTCTTCTAGGTTAGCTTGGAATACAATCATAAGGGAAATGTCTTCTTTACCCTTACTAAGATGAGAAAGGTGTAAGGGAACAAGGGAACTATTCACAAAGCTTTAGATACTACACCTTGACTTGGGTTGACTAGTCAATTATTAGTCCCCGACTATTAAATTTTCAGGAATTTAAAGAATTAAATTACCAATGGAGTAGGATTAATTACTTAATTAATCCCTAAATAGAATCTGGATTTACGGGGTGTCACAAGTTCAACATGCATGTAATGACTATTAACAACTCGTTTTGTCGGAGTGAATTATAATTTCACTCCCACCTAATTTTGAAGGCAAGTAAGTTTCATCGTTTGGTTGAAAAGAATTGTAATTTCATAAAATTGCAATTTCTTCATTTTTGTTGAATTAAAATCATATACCCCCCCCCCCCCCTAGTATTTATAATTTCATGAAATTGCATTTTCCTTAAGATATCATTGAGATAAAATTATGTACCCTTCTCTTTTCTAACATAAATTGATATTTCATTTGTATGTTCACCTCTCCCTCGCATCATATCGCGTAGTCTTCTTCCTCTATCTGGTTATCATATTCTTTATAAAAATCGATTGGTGATAAGTAGATGAACATTAATAATAATTAATTTAACCACACCCCTCTATGGTAAGCCACACATGTTACGTTTCGAATCGAGTACGTAGTGGATGGGTGCACTTTGCTGACCCCCACAATTATGAAAATAAATTACTGCATTAAAAATTATATAAAAATTACTATATCATAATTTATACAACCAATATTAAAAAATTTTATGAATTAAAATATATTTCCTTGCCTATGGGTTACGTTAAGAAATCTAGTCATTGCATTGAAGGACTTTATTAATGTATCTATCACTCACTATAGATGACCATATATAGAATAGAGACTCTAATTTGTGGAAAACTAGTCATGAAGATAGGGATTGATTCATTACTGGAAATTATGGAACTTCCGACCACCTGAAAGTGATCTTAAATCAAGTTGATATCAAAAAGTGGTCGGAAATAGCAACAAAGGTTTTTCCGGATACCAAAAGTGGTCGGAACAAGGCTTTCGACTTGATTTAAGATCATTTTTAGGTGATTGGAAATTCCATAATTTTCAGTAGTGATTATGTCATTGAATTACTCAGTTAATGTCTTTTTTGGTCCTAGATTTATTAAGGGTTAGACACTTTTAATCCACCTTAATAAATTTTTTCACATTTTAGCCACAGTTATTAGATGTTAGACACTTTTAATCTTCCGTAAGCTTATCAGTTTGTTCACCGTCAAAATGAAGGACATTTCTGTCATTTCACATGTTCTTCTCAGCCTTCATTTTTATGCTTTTCCCGCAACAATCTAAAGAAAAAAGCTCTAATTCCTACCTAAAAACTAAAAAACAATTTTTCATATACATTCATAAATTCATTTACGCATTTTCTTATTGAAGTTGATGGTAGTTGACCCAGTGTCTGAGGAAGCTCGACCGGCGGCAAGAACTATCACTGGAATTTTTGTTCTTTCTAGAAATTGTTCCAGAGTCATCTCTGCCTGCGACGGTCGTCTTAGATGATCAATCTGGACAAGAAAAAAATCAAAATAATAGTAGGAGGCTTCTGACAACTTTGCGTTCGTTTGCGTATGTGCTATCGACAGGGAGACCAAAATTCAATAAAAAAAATCAAAATAACAACTAACAACGAAATCAAGCAACGATGATCAATCCAGATTCAATTACTAGAGATCAATTTCAAAATGGCACATAACAGAATCTAGAGGCTAGAACATAGATTGAACAGAATACGCAGCGAATCAATCAATCACTGATGAACAATACGAATGCAGGTCTGCATTAGGGGAAGCTGATTGTAACAATTGAGGAGGTGGAGTGGAGAAAATTGGCTAAGATTGAAGAAAAACATACCTTGATGGCAATTCCTCGAAGGGGAGACCAACAGTGGATACGGGTAGGGCAAAATTCCAGGCATTCTTCCCTCTCTTTGGTTCAGCGCACATCGGAGCACTGGATGCGAGGTATATACTGATTAGATTCACATCATAGAACAATTGTGAGCAGGTGTTAGTAGGTGGTCGCCGGAATGGATCGGAATACAAGAAAGGACTTGTGGTTTGCTGTGATTTAACTCATTATCCTAAAATTGTAATATCACTTGGCTCTAGATTTGGCGATGGGTTGAACAATGTGATTGAGCGTGGCTAAAGTCAAGATATAAGATGAATTTGTTGAAGCCTAGATATGATGATTTATGGATTGAAATTGCAAATGGAGAAGGAGAGGTGAGGGTTTTGGGCAGAGGATTGAATACAAGCATGTTCCTGCCTTATGTTCTAGGTAGACTACAAGTATCCAACCCCTAATAAGTCTAGGACCACAAAAGGCATTAACTCTTGAATTACTACATATAAATTAAGGAAAATACATTTTAATCCTTCAATTATTACACACACACACATAATTTATATATATATATATATATATATATATATATATATATATATATATATATATATATATATATATATATCAGGGTTGCAAAAATCTCGCTTAGGCACCGAGTAATCGGCGCCTAGGCGCTAGGCGTCCCTAGACCGTGGCGATTTCTCCCCTAGGCTCCCGCCTAGGAGACGGGCCGCCTAGCGCCTAACTCGACCGATTACGCCGAGTTTACTCGTCAATTTCTGTCGAGTTAGCCGAGTTAACCTGGCCGGCTTGACCTTGCTAATTTTCTTCATATATATATATATATATATATATATATATATATATATATATATATATATATATATATATATATATATATATATATATATATATATAGGGTTAGGTTCTTGTGAGAACAGGTCTTCCTGTGCAGTCAGTGCGTCATACACCATTAGAGGTATGCATAAATGCACCACACAGTGTTCGAAAATACACCATTATTTGTGGTGTATTTTATTTTTTTTTTTGTGGTGCATTTTTTAGCATTTCATTCTGGTGTATTCTCGAACACTGTATGGTGCATTTATGCATACCTAATGGTGTATGCCGCACTGATCGCACATTAAGTTTCAACAAAAAACACACCTTAATTATTATTATTATTATTGTTATTATTATTATTATTATTAATTTCGTACTTTGAATTGGCACTACATTCCAATTAGCATAGAAGCTTCATTAGAAAATAATGTTATTCATTCTTCATGCCCGTAAAGTACGCAATTGAAACCAACTAAGTCAATGCATTAACTAGTGGCTGATGAATTCAAAATCTAAAACATTATATAGAATTTAATTATTAATTTTGATAATGTAAATAATCTCTAACTTTAAAGGGTAAACACATAAATTATGTTTAAATAAGTAAAGTAAATAGAAAAGATAGAAGATAATGATAAGTAAAATAAGATGATAATGAATGTAATCATAGTAATATGGTTATAGTGAGATATAACTAAATAGATGATGGATGATTCTGTTTTCCATTTTAAAAACAGTTTTTAAGTGTGTTTCAGTTTTCCAGAAATTTTCAGAAATTATTTTCAGTTTTCAAAATGAAAACTGTGTTAGTAATTAAACATGTTTTCTGTTTTCTATTTTTCAGTTTCCGGAAATTTCCAGTTAGTAAACGGCCCCTAAAATTTCCAGTACTTTAATAATAAAGAATAAGGTCTAAATTGGTCACTAAAGAAAGTGTAATTAGGTCATTGAACAAAAAAAAGGTACAATTAGACCACTAAATACCTCATATATATATATAATTTCATCAGATAGCAGGTTACCATTCTTTTTCATCAAATTATCTGCTTACGTGGATGATGTATTGACATTTTAAATAATTTTTAATAATAAATTTTAAAAATAAAAATTAAATTTTTTTAACGCAGCCACCCCCTTCCCCCCTGAGGAGGGGGAAGGAGGTGGCCAGCGGCCACCCATGTGTTTTTTTATTATTAAAAATTATTTAAAATAATATTAATAATTTTTAATATTATTATTATTATTATTATTAATTAAAAAAAAAAAAAAAAAAAAAAAAAAAAACTTTGACTTGGGAAGTTGGCATATTACGAAAGAAGCTTGATTGGACAATGAAGTTACACATACATTTCCCATATGCATGTGGACTGCGCAATATTCCGTTCTAATCTAGACATGGAAAGTTTCATGGGAAACTAAACTCACACACATTTTAGGACTTTGTAGTACAATGGTACCGCATTACTTCTTTATGTGAGAGGTGATAGGTTCGAGCCTCAATAGAGGCATTTGATGTAATTGGGTATCCCCTTCCTAAAAAAAAACCATTCACATACATTTTTCAATGCCCGTAAACTATGCATTACAATTTTTTTGGTTTCGTTTCGGAGTGAATTATAATTTCACTCCCACCTAATTTTGAAGGTAAGCAATTTTCTTCGTTTAGTTGTAGAGATCAAAATTGCAATTTCGTAAAATTGCAATTCATTCATTTTCACGAAATTAAAATCATATGCCTTCCCTTAGTATTTATAATTCCATGGGAATTGGGTGCAATTTCCTCAAGATACCATAGAGATAAAATTATCCTTCTCTTTTGTAATCTAAATTGATATTTTATTTGTCCGTTCACCTCTTCCTCACATCGCGTGTCTTCTTCCTCTATCTGGTTGTTATATCTTTGATAAAACTAATGGGTGATAAGTAGATAGACATTAACAATTTAACCACATCCTCCATGATAAGCTACACAACGACAAAACGTCATGTCTTCAATCGAGTAGGGGCTGCACTTTGCTGACCCGGCTGATGCCCAATAATTATGACAATAAATTACTACATTCAAAATTATAAAAAAAGTTACTATATCATAATTATTTATACAAAAAATATTAAAAGTTTTCATGAATTAATTAAATATTTTTCCTTGCTCATGGGTTACGTTAAGAAACCTAGTCAATGCATGCAAAGACTTTATTAATGTACCTAGCTATCACTCACTATAGATGACCATAGAATAGAGTCTCTACTTTAATTTGTGGAAAATTAGACAACAAGATAGGGATTGATTATGACATTGAATTACTACATATATGCCCCCGTTTGGTAAAAAATTAGTTTATAGGTTAAATTTGACTTATTTGATCACTATTAATTATTTGATTTGGTTAAAATATCAATATAAGTGTTTGGTTAATTAGCTTTTTGCAACTCCAAAATGCTAAAATTCAAAAAGTTATTCCAAACAACTTTTTCAATTAGCTTTTTCAGAAAAAAAAATTATACCAAACAACTATCAGATAACAGCTAATTTACCAAACACTTTTCTACAGCAGTTAATGTTATCAACTAGTTATACCATCTAATTAACACAATCAGCTAACAACTATCAGCTAACAACCATCTACCAAACAGGGCCATAAATTACTGTTGTTGTTGTTATTATTATCATTATTAGTTAAAAGGGATTATAATTATTTTTGTACTTTGAATACATTCGCACTATTAGAAAATAAAGCTATACATACATTTTTTTTATGCCCTTTACGCATTAGAAACCAACTAAGTCAATGCATTAACAATACATGCATACAAACACTGCACTGTACTATTAAAAGTCTTATTATTGGAAACCCAAAAATGTAAATAGAGATTGATTATGACATTAAATTACTACATAAAAAATTATATAAAAATTACTATATCATAATTTATAGAACAAATATAATTAATTAATATGACATTAAATGTACATTTCTAGTTCTTTAAGGACTAGTCAATTTTGTTACCCAAAAGAGGTACCTACAATTCAGCAAAGGATTAGTCACTGTGTTCGACGGTGGAAACTCTGGGTATACCAAAAAAAAAAAAAAATTGTTACACTGGTATTTGAATTGGAAAATTATCTTCAAACGTGTTAATTATTATTATTATTATTATTATTATTATTATTATTATTATTATTACTATTATTATTAGGATTAATATTTGATGCACCGTCGGTGTATGGATGCTATACAACGGCGGTGAATGAGGAGATGACACATCATCAAAAATAAAATTAATATTAATCGGGTCCTTTTTTGCAAAATATCTAAGACTTGTATTTTTTTAGGAAACTTTTTTATTTCTAATTAACAAAATATATCTACTTTCCTAAATATATTTATTACTTAATTATTATGCTATATATAATTATCTAATTATTAATAGGATTACTAATGATAAAAGTGTATCGCTGAAACCTTCAAATTAACATTAACATTGTAAATAAATTTCCTATTATTAATCCTAATATAAAAATAAATTCCTATTGTTGATTCTATCGAAATTTAAAAATAAATTTCACTAAAATTAAAGAATTCTTAATTAAGAATTGTAATTGATATATAAAAATAAATTTCTAAATTATTATATTTATAATTAAGAATTTTTTGATTTTTTAATTAACAAAAACTATCGGATTTCCTGTATCTATCTTTAACTCCTAAATTTATTTAAACCTCTCTAAACTCCTAAATTTAAATTACAACCTTAGTCACTATTAGAAACAATTGCAATATCTTGTAAGAATATATATTCATCAAATAAGTTGGGTCAAAAGTCACAACATCTCCAAAAAATTTATAAGTCACTCTAGACCTAGAATCAACCCAAAAATTAAACAATTCGCTAGTTGACCTTCTGTGTCCATTTGTATTGCATAAAAAAATACTAGATTTTTAGATTGACAGTGACACTAAAAATAATTCAACATTGTTTGTGCATCTCCTTTCTCAAGTTGCTTTTGCCTTTTGTTACTTAAATAATTTTGAATATCTCGCTCAGTACAACCGGCCCTATCTATTCCTCCAGATTTAGTAACCAAAACTGGCATTATTTTACTAGTACGTATTCCAAATTCATCAAGCACGTCGATCAAATTCCTTTGAGATTTTGTCCTCTTTCTATGAACTCGATGAAATCGAGCACTACTAGGAGAAGCAAGCACATGACTATGATCTTTAGTAAATTTAGATATTATCCATTTGTCTTCGTCTTTTCTATATACATAAATTATGACTTTGCATCCCATGCGTGTTTCATCATATGGAGGTTTTTTCTTATTGTTTCGCTCTAAGTATTTTTTTTTTGCACGGTAACCTTGCTTTGAACAAACAAACTCTTGTCGAATAACCATTTGATTATTTCTAGACTTTACTATGCGGCTTTGCGAATTCCAAAACCTTCATGTTTTGCATAATTAGTATAGCACATTAAAGCATCATCTAGTGATTGAAACTCCATTCCCTACATAACTCTATTGTGTCATTATTCACATCATTCTTCGCATTTGCACGG